GTCAAGGTATCGGCGCGAAGCTCAACTTGTCCAAGTCGGTGCTAGAAGCGCTGAATCGGAAGGTGGACTGCCCTCAGCTGCCTGGTGTCCATGTGCTCGGTCGTAACGAGACTGTTAAGTACTTGGGTATTCCATTCAGCCAGGCTCCAGTCGACAACACAATCGTCAAGCTCTTGGATCAACGCTTCTACGACGGCATCAAGACATGGTACCGACGTTTGCGAACTCTTCGTGATTGACTTCTGGTCGTGCAAACAATGGTGCTGTCACGCTTGTGGCACTATACGCAGCACGTCGTGATCCCACAGACGGTCGTGCGACGCTGGCAGTCTATGCTGAATCGACCAATTTTGAGCCGCAAACATGACAAAAACGCGAAGCACGTGCAGCTCATTCCGGGTGAGTTCTTGTACCTGCGGCGCAGCGAAGGCGGTTTGGGCATCCCAATTCTCGAGGCGCAGCTCAAGCGACAGCGACTCGCACTACTTCTACAATTCATGAGAGGCTCGGCTATTTAAAGGGATCCAACGGATCCTTGTTATGGAGTACAAGGATGACGTCCTTAGTGCAAGCCCGCTTTTTGGTATTCCATTCAAATGTGGAGTTCGACACAAAAATGATCGTGAATCTGGTTCAAAGAACTTAGAAAGTGGCCACTGTCGCGCGAACAATGTGAGAACATTGATGAATTTTCTGCTCAAAGGCAAGCTGCTGACTTGTTGAGTAAGAGCTAGTCACTTCACAGCGCACCGACGTTTTATGTACGTAAACCAAAAAATAAAGGGTGTATAGCTCACGCCTATAACAAGTTGAATGCGCAGACTATTTTAGCGCAAACATCAAATCCGCGCATGGTGGTCATCATCCTCCGTATGTCCGGCTGTACACAATTTCGTGCTCTTTTTTTGGCCGATTGATTTTACCAAATCATGTTGAAGGAGAAGGAAGTCCCTTTGACAGCCATAAGTACACCGTCCGGTATGTTATCGGAGTGACTTGTGCTGCCAAAGAGACTATACGGCTCAATCGATTAGTCTTGCATCTGTTTCAACCACTGCGACGCTTCGCACAAACCTAATTTCACTCATTTGAAGGACGAGATGGCACATCGGCAGAAGAAGTACAATATGGAGTACCTCCGTGCGGTGCTGGAATGAATGCTTGATCATTCTTGCAAGCAAATCCTACGAAGTGTATTTCGGTGCTAATGAAATACCGGTCCTCGGTTGTTAGATGGTGAACACGGTGTTCGTGCAGACTTTGACAAGGTCAAAGCAATCGAAAAGTGGCCAACGCCACGAAATCAATGGGATTTGAGGCAATGGATTGGCTTAGACCTGCATTGCTTCTCGCGTAACTTAGCGGAAACAGTACACCCGATATTGAACTACTTGGAAAAGGACGTGGTAATCAACTTGTAAAAAAGCATTCACTCAGATAAAAAACAGCTTGATGGAGCACCTTTACTTGATTCACCAGATATACAAAGCCGTATAGCGTGGTGAGTGACGATTTTGAGTTTGCAATCAGTTCTGCATTATTCTAAAATAACTCAGAGGACACGATCGTGTCGTGTTATTTCGATCCCAGCAGCTAAAGCCCGCAAAAATGAACTACCCTGTCCACAACAAAAAGCTTTTGGCAATGAAATTTGCTTCGGTAAATTTTCGTGCTCACCTTTTGGGTCCCACACCTTTTGTTGTCTACACGGATCACGCAAGCGTTTGTTAAGCAGTTCAGTCGCCTCATTTGTCAGAGCGCATGCCTCGCTGGTTGTCATTCTTCGCAGAATACAGTTTCACGGTCGCGTACAAGCCAGGGAAACCGAACATGCTGGCAGACAAATTGTCACGTATTCCTGATTATGAGCTAGCTCGTATCAGCTATATCAAAAACGATGTATTCGATTTGAGACGCCGAGCAGATGTTGATGTGATCTGATCATCAGAGCACTGTCAGACGGTGATATGGAATTCCATGACAAGTTGCCTGGTCGCTTGAAATCATGCTTGCATCATTATGAATGGAAAGATGATCTTCTCCAATATGAAGTTGCAAGTGACGACGAGCCACGGATGGTGGTTTCCCACAACGATGATTTAAAGTACGAGATATTCTACGAAGCGGATGATACCCCGATGGCGGATTTATTTGGCCCTGAGAACACATGTACAAGTCGGTGGCACGATACGTGAAGACATTCGATGCTTGTCAGCGCCTGAAGAGCGCAAGGCGCACGCAAGCGCCACTGCAGAGTATTCCTGTTCCAACTGACTATGAAAGTCAGCCGGCTTTAACTTAATTATTGGCTTCAATGGGCGTGGTTATGATCACAATAGGGAACTTGAATTTGCTGACAAATTTAGCAAGATGGTTTGCATCGCTTCGTGTTGCGATTCCATCGATGCCGAAGGTTCGGCTGAATTGCTCATTAACTACGCTGTTTGCAATCACGGGTAGCCAGACGCCATCGTTTCCTATCGTATCACACGATTCACGATTAGCTAATTGTACGAGTGCGCTTTTCACAGACAGTCCCCCAAGCACAACATACACACGTATGTGAAGAAGAGGCGATTCCTGACGTGGATGGAGAAGGGCAGCCCCATCTTGAAGGGAAAAAGAACGACTTGAGCCCTTTAAGGCATATTTGTAACTGCTTCAAAATTGAGTTATGGTTCCTAGCTACATGCAAAACACCCCAAGGGCTCCTAGAGGATTTACTGATAAAAGCTTGGGCTACTGCTTTATAAATCTTGGGCGTACTGATGATAACCTCATACTCAATTGACACAAGATCGTGGGTGTACGGAGCTTAAACTTCTGAAGCTTGGACTTTACTTGTCGTGAAACGTATCCGGTAGAAGGGACTGGCTTACGCCACCCACTCCGAAAGACATCGAGACACGTCGGTCTCGTCACCAGTACAGATCTTCAAATAAGAACCAGCATTCTGTATCACACTGATTGTTTGTGACTTCATATTAGAAATCGTGTTCTATAATCTTCTTTTATTAATTCTCTCAATGCATAAAAAGGTACACAAATTCACCTTCATGTAATGATTAAGTGTAGCCCATTACATCATCTCCTCCTTATAAGTTAGAAGTACTTTGATACTTCTGCAGGCTATTTAGAGCAGTTAATTTTCCGATCAACCTTGAAGCGAATCCTGTGACAAAACCAATATGAAAAAGCTTTCTTCACCTAAACGGCAACGAGCAGTTCCAAAACTCTTTACCGTTTCCTCCATCCTCAACCAAATTTGAGACAAGAGATTCCACATGGAACAGTTGTTTCGTTGTCGTGGGATGAACAATCGACCCATCTATTCGCATCTAAGCTTGACTCTTCGCGGACATTTGTTCGCCTTGAGAACGAGAATAAAATGGAGCGTCTGCTTCGCCGAGTCGGCGCTGGCAGGACAACCAGTCACGACCGAGCACAACCCAGCTTTGGTCATCGTAATGTTGCCTTTAGCAGCGTCACAAGCGATTCTCGAAGTTGTGAACCATGTCGGAGACATCAGACTCTAAAGCTTGACGAGGTTCCCACTGTCGGCTAAGGGCCGAGGCATCGAGAGCGAGGTCCCCGTATTGCACGTGAACACGTAAAACCACTGAGCTCTGCTCTCGTTGCAAAGCGTTCGCTGCATGCCAATTATGGCGTAGTCGGACAGAGTCTGAGGCATCTTGGTCACGGCCCTTCAGATGCGCGTTGAGTGGCACGTTATCCACCAGACGAAGACTGCGGGGTTAGAAGCTCTTCGTCGGATGTTGTAGATCACATCGGAGCTCCAAAAGAGCGGACAGTGAGGGTGACACCGGACAACGCGGAGTGCGTGCTCATTCTAGTCTCACCAAGACATAGATCTCTGTACAGAGACGACAGCGACGCCTTCTGCTGGCTGCAAGACGCCGGACGTCGACCCTGATTCAGGGTGTGCCTACCGAAAACGATGGTGCACAGTTATACATCCTCGTCAACGGTATAACGGGGGAGATAGATGGCGACGTCAGCCTCGAGGCTATGCCTGCAGTACATGCTCTTCTTGAGCTGAACGAGATGTCCCTTGAAGAGTTCGGCAGTGCCTTGAAGGAAGGCGATTCGGCCAAAATGGTCATTGTACGACCGGACGAGGAGATAAACTCGTCATCGCTTCTGGATAAAGCTGT